GTGTGGGTGGTGTATGTGTGTGTGGGTGGTGTATGTGTGTGAGTGGGGTATGTGTGTGAGTGGGGTATGTGTGTGAATGGTGTATGTGTGTGAATGGGGTATGTGTGTGAGTGGGGTATGTGTGTGTGAGTGGGTATGTGTGTGTGGGGTATGTGTGTGTGAGTGGGTATGTGTGTGTGGTGTGTGTGTGTGTGTGTGTGTGTGTGTGTGAGTGGTGAGGTGCATGTGGTGAGGTGCATGTGGTGGTGTTAGTGAACTGAAGATTTCATTCAAGTTTGTGTCATACAGAATACATATTGTTTGTATATGTCATACATTATTACACATCATGTGTTATTGTTTGTATGAGTCATACTATCATTGGAAGCCAAAAAGCTGGCTTCTCTCGCACCCCTTTGCACAAATAAAAATAAGAAAATAATGGTGGGTTTTCGGCAAGCACTGGGATTTGCTGTGAAACCTAAGAATGGGCTGGGGGCAAGGCAATAATATGAACTTCTGGCGTAGATGTTTTTCTGTACCTGATGCTCTTCCAGAAGAAGAAGGCATGGCTCAGTTAATTTAAAGAATTAAACATAGGTTTCTCTCTCACACCAATTATGGAAATTAAAGAAAAAATGGGTAATTTATTTTGTCATTATTTTACTCTTGTAAATTATATTATGTAATTGTCCACTGAATGAATTTCAGTATAAGATATAAAAAAAAATTTTTGAAATGTTATATTGCTATTTATACAAATGTACTGCTAATGACAGATAACAAGTGTAATTAACTGTGTTAGCACTATCGTACATGAATTTTGAGTTTTTAGTGCCTCATCATCCTAGGTCTGTAACACTTCACACAATTAACTGTTGATGATATTTCAAGAATTGAAGATTAGCACACATGCTTATAACATATAGGCTCTTGAATCATACAAATATCCTGCTACGATGAACTGAAAATACATTTTCTTTCTGAGCACCCTCATCCTTAGGAAAGGAGAAGGTGAAATAAATTTGTATAAAATGACAATTTTACTTACACTCTCTCGGCATCCGTCGGTAAGTTCCGTGGAACTTGTGTCAGTCCTCGATGAGAGCAGTCCACAGTTAAACCAGAACAAGAGCAAGCCCAAGGGCAATGGATGAGCTCCTCCGGCACCCCGGTGCGGCTCGAACTACTAGCAGCTGTCAGGACATCGTTGTTGGGGGAAGAATCACAGAGTTTAACCAAAACTAGCGTGAAAATCAGAAAACTCAGAACTTTTGTTCTTCGATCTGCCATCATTCACTAGGCATAAGTCAATTTCATTCACTCAAGATAATTCAAAATATGTTCTTCTCTTAAGCCCTCACCAACTTCACACCCGAGTAACTTGCACGTTCTCAACAAAACAAACACTTGCACTATTTACGAGCACAGCTCACTGTCTCTCCAATAATTATTCGAAACGACGAGAATGCAGTATAGCTGTGTTCCCATCTTCTCCATGGTTAACGTAGCATTGTGGAGATAATTCGTTCACAAACACTGAAAATTAAAACAGACATAAATTAATTTACGTTTACTCCGTTTTAATAGAAATAACACAGTAAAAATATTTCAAGCATTCATACCAGCATACACAACACAACTACAACCAATTCTATTACTATGAGGTATCATTAGCACACGAATACATTCACCAATCCATAAAAACACCAGGACACTACGACCGCATTTCTTTACGTTATTATTACCACTCGAATACATTTTACTTGCCCGCATAGAACGTGTGCAATGAATACAACGAGAAGCTGTCAAACAACTTTAGACCAGTTAGGCACACACACTGTATGTATGGTTCAACTGGAATTTACAAGAACAGTAACATCAGCGGACTCATGAACACAAAAACAATGCACGCATATCTCACAAAAATGTGACGTTTACGTGCACATGCTACCACACTTTTCCCTCTCGCAGTCGTCGATCACTAGTGACAATACATGCACTACACATTAGTCGCAAAGAAATAAGTACACCAAGGTTAACGTGGTCAGTCCAGTGTATTCAGAGGAAATTCATTCAAAATTACTCGCACGAGAAACCCCATTACTGTTCTGTCCAGCATGCAACCTGACGTGACTAAACACAAACAAATACGTATGCACCCACAACAAAACAAATGTAATTTGTGAACTGCACGAAAAGTCACATCTTATTATTGAAAGTGATGCATGAAGTAAACAAGTTAATGTCTGCAAAGCAAAACAACTTCGATGAACTACAATGCATATATAAGTATGCCTTTACGCTCTCGTCCATACGTACGTAGACGTGTGTGTGTGTGTATACATATACAAATACACGCATACATGCAAATACACATACATACACTTACACACATACACGCATACTTACGTACATACATACTCCAGAATACAACCACACCCACAAACTTCACTAACCTCTTTAGTCCACGGCAGACAGCCGACTACCTCTACCTCAAATCAGAGCGACAGTCGGCGCGGTGCGGAGGCTGAGCTGTTGTACATAGTTACACAGATGGCCACTAGATAGCGTTGCACCTTGCTATTCTAGTTTGAAGGGGGCTACATAGGCCACAAATGATCGCATGCGACAGTTGTGAGTTCTGAACGTAATGTTCATTTGGTCTGTTATAATGGCTATGACCAGGAACTAATGGTAAACACTCCGCGACAGACAATGAAAATAGTTTCCTGCAACCGTTCTACTTTTTGTTGCTTTAAGAAAAATTCGTGTTTGTTAGATAATGTGTAGTTACCGTACTCGGAGAAATTAAATAAAAACCCTACTGCCTTCGTTTTACCATATAGTGTTCAATTATGAATAAAAGTTACAACGAACGTTGTCCTCAACATCTGACAACAATACATTTTCCTGTGCAATGAAAATTATTTGCGTTGGCAGACGGGCTTCAGCTTGTTCGAATGAACAGGTGGCAAGGGGGCGTGGGAGGAGAGGGATCGCAAAATAATTAACCTGAGAGGGAAAGTTCTCCCCTCCCCTTTTTTCCCTAGCTATTAAAACATTTGCTATAGTTGCAATGTCATAACATACGCACAATCAATATTTTCAGGTTTTACTATATTGAATTCTGAATAATGAAATTGTGGCCACTTTATCTTAGCAACAGTTAAGTATATGGGCATGCGAAAGTGTCAACATAAAGTGACTTCTTAAGAAAAGTTTGCTTTTTTTTGTATTATTTTGTAATTTTTTTTATATCTTTAAGCTTATAAAACTTTCAATAACATTATGCAACTCTACTAATAAATTAATAAGCATTATTTCTACACACAAGATTGAAAATTAAATGGAAATGCTGTCCAGATGGACTATGAGAAATACCAAAAGTAAGAACTGTTATTCAGGTGATCACAGAAATGAGAATTAATCAGGAAAATGTTGAAAGAAATGTAGAGGCAAACCTATGGAGAAGGATTTTCAGGCTACTGAAACAAAGTAACTGTGCACATGCAACGTGAAACTAAAATTGACACTGGATGTGGATCATTGTATTACACTTAGGCAAGAATGGAGAGTTTACCAATGACGATTTTAAATGAAAAGAAGGGTTATTATGTATGATCGCATAAGCACAGCAGAGGGAAGGCAGAGGCATGTCTCCCTTAATTTCTGTAGATCAATTCTCTTTCATATAAAATATATCAAAGTAATCTTGACATATTTTTATTTATTCTTTTTTAAAATTAATTTCAAGGCAACATTTCCTACAGGCTACCATGCACCCCACAATGTTCACATCTGTCATTCACTGCCTTGTATAGGGTAAAATCTTGATTAACATCAACAATGACTAAACAGTAATCTGGATATGAAATATACATATGATAATTCCAGAAAATATGGAAATATATAAAAATGAAATCTTGAAGACACTTTAAGGAAATTTTAAGCTTGTAACAGTAAAAATGTGTGTTATTTTTGTTTTGTTTTTTCCAGTTATATTTGGAAAAAATTGTGTTTGTACTTTGAAAATATTATGATTATAACAATTAAAATAGTATGTTTGTTATTCATTATATAACAGTTATTCCATTCTAACTCTGTTTCTCCATTACTTACGTGGACTCTGTTTGGGGTCAGATTTGACCCCACATTTTTATCTCATAGTTTATACTAACTCATAATAGATAAATACGCCAGATTTCCATTCAGAAACAACACAATAATATTATAAAACAGAAATAGATGCATTTTTAAAATATTTATTATAAATGAGATGTGTCATGGAATCTTTTTAGGAGCATTTCTGACCCCAGTTGAGTAAAAATTAAATTACTTCTAACCGCAAAAACTTAAAAGTTGAAAACACGTGGACTTATATTAATATATACACACATAGATACATGGTTCAGGACTATTACAAGAAAATAATTATTTTTATTACAATATTAGGGTAGCAAATATTATTCTGATAAGTCTACATTTTATGTATTTCTGATAAGTCTACATTTTATGTATTTCTGATAAGTCTACATTTTATGTATTTTGAAAGCCAGTTTTGTTTCTTTTTAATTGTCAAAACACATTGGAGTACCTAAGATGAATTTCAGTATTAATCCAGGCATTATGACTTGTTATTAGATTCCTATTTAATACATTTCATTTTCTAATACTAATACATACAATTAATAATAATAATAATAATAATAATAATAATAATAATAATAATAATAATAATAATAATAAAATAAATTTTACTTTCTTTCAAATATCTGAGCATTGAAGAATGGGAGATCATCTCTATCAACACAATGAAAAAGAGAATTCTCAGGGAGTATTACAGAAGAGTGTCGTGAATAAGAGGAATATGAATAATAACAACCACAATGATAACCAAAACAGCAATAACAACAACAATAATTATGACAATAACAATGATCGACGATAACAACCAAAACAAGAATAACTGACCTCACGAATGGAGCAGGCAAAATGTAGATACTCTTCACACCCATGACAGAAAACCTCGGTGTTCATTTCACTGTCACACTTTCCACAGATTAACACAGGCATGTTTGATGTTGGTATTTACATTCTCGCCTTACGAATTCTTTGTAAGAAGAGAAAGTTATGTAATCGTGCGCCCGAAAACGCTGAAATTCCGCCTGAAAAAACCTTATTATTATTATTTTTGTGGAAAAACAATTTTTTACTTCCGAACCGCGGATCAACAGTTGACGTGGTGATGAAAATCCTTCAAGGCCAATGACACTTTTCTTGTTTTTCCTATTTTTACTTTCCTGTATACATACGAGTATGTATATACAAAGAAATTTACATAGTAAAAGGAAAGTTTTGTAATGCTGCGGAAAATCGATTTCGAGATTTCAAAGGAAATACTCGTTTTGGAGTTCCCTGACAACGAAAAAGTGATGTTTTTCAAACGTCCGCCCGTCTGGCAGTCTGTCCGTCTCTTTGAACGCCATTAGCGCCTAAACGACACATAGGATTTTTTCCAAAAGGTATATTCTCTGGTCGATCTGACTCGATTCGAGGCGCTACGATTTTTAAAAACTTAATTTAAAACTACTTTACATGAAGTCCAAGGGACATTTTCAAACTTTCCGAAAAATGACTCCAATTTTTTTCTTTAAATTTCTTGTAAGAATAGAGTTAAATACACTTATCAAGGTGGTATAGGTCCGATTTTCTCTGTTAAAACCGAATTTTCGAAAATTGCAAAAGCTGGAATTTTTTGAAAACTTTCTAAAACAGCAAAATTGAAATTAGTTGTCCATAATTAGTTCTTTCATTAGGGTCATATATTTTTTCTCGAAAATTTAATTGGTTATAGCGCAATATTGGAGCAATATGTACAATTTAAAAAAATAACAAAAACAAGATTTTCTCTTAAAACGACTCCAATTTTTCCTTTTCACTTTTGGTAAGGAATGTGCAAATGTACTCTATGAAATTACATTACACATTATTGTTTTTATGAGTACATGTGCTTTAAACAATGACATATAAAGTTCCTAAAAAACTCAACACTTTTCTGTGAAAATGAACTCAAAATTCCGCATTTTCAGAAACACTTGAACGCCATTAATTCGTTGGAAACAACATTTTTTCCGTCTCTTAACAGCTATAATAATAATAATAATAATAATAATAATAATAATAATAATAATAATAATAATAATAATA